GCCCGGAGCCGCAGTGCGCGCAGGCCTTCGCCCGCAAGCACCAGCTCAAGGTCCACCTGCTGACGCACGGCGGCAGCCAGGCCCGGCGCCCCTTCAAGTGCCCGCTGGACGGCTGCGGCTGGGCCTTCACCACCTCCTACAAGCTCAAGCGGCACCTGCAGTCGCACGACAAGCTGCGCCCCTTCAGCTGCCCGGTGGGCGCCTGCGGCAAGAAGTTCACCACCGTGTACAATCTCAAGGCGCACATGAAAGGCCACGAGCAGGAGAATTTGTTCAAGTGCGAGGTGTGCGCCGAGCGCTTCCCCACGCACGCCAAGCTCAGCTCCCACCAGCGCAGCCACTTCGAGCCCGAGAGACCCTACAAGTGTGATTTTCCGGGTAATCACATGCCCAGGCCCGCGGGGGCCCCGGCCTCCAGAGGGGTGGGGGTGGGTGGACAAGAGCATTCCCAACCTTAATTGCAGAGTGGCATCTGGGTGCTGCTGCAGAACCGCCCTCGGGAGCCCCCCACCCCTACCGCGTTTAAAGTCGACTGGTTACCAAATTAAAGGGGGGGGGCCCTAGTTTCCAGACGCTCTATTGTCTTTATGGGCGTCTTTTTCCAGGCGGCTCCATTGGGAGCCCTGACATAGATTCAACGTCATCATTTTGTGAGGTCTTTATATATTCGCCCGCACAGACAAGGAATCAAGGCTCGGGCGATGTTTTTATCTGTTTTATCTAAGCCACTGCAGATTCTCCTCTTGTGGGTTGTCCGTGCCCTTGGGGCAGTCAGACACTTGGTTAGGTTCCCCCGAGGAACAGTGGTCTCTACGAGGAGGAAGAGAAGATTCCTGCCTGGAAGGCCTGTTTTGGGAGCAAGAGATTAGGCCCTGGGGAGTAAGGTGGAGAGCTGCACAGGTCCTGAAACTGCCTGGCTTACTTAGCCAAGCCTCCTCTAGAATGTGGCTGTGATAACTGGGGACGTGAAGGTGGTAGGGGGCAGCGCGACTGCCCATATCCCACGTATTAAAACAAAACAAGTGTGAGCATGCACCTCATGCTTCTAACAGGTGTGTGAACATGTGTATTACATTCATACACTAAACCCCAAACCTCACTGGTGTCGAGTTGACTGACGTATGGTGACCCTACATCAGGTTTAAACCAAAAAACCAAACTCGGTAACGCTGAGACAGTATGGATTCAGTGACCCTATAGGATAGTATAGAACTGGCCGTGACTTTCTGAGACTAACTGCAGGAATAGAAAACCGCATCTTTCTCCGAGGAGCTGGCTGGTGGTTTCACACTGCTGACCTTGCACCTAGCAGCCCAATGTGTAACCAGTAAGATTTATGGGAGCAGGTAACCTCATCTTTCTGATGGAGCAGCTGGTGGGTTTGAACTGTTGACCTTGGGGTTCGCAGCCCAATACTCACCTGGTAGTGCCATCAGTGCTCTCCTAGTAATGTACACCATAAAGTCTGCCAAATACAGACATTTTAAAAATCACTTCCACAGGCCTTTGGGCTGTCCCAAGTATCCTTCCTTGTGGAGAATATCACTTTCGTCAACACTTCAAAAAACGTTTTTCAGTTTTATACATATTTAGAGAAATCTGATGGCGGCTATAAACTCAAGTAAAATACACCAGGAGCATTATTCTGTGTAAAAATATTGTGAGGAACAGGGATCTAACATAACCTGTGGGGCCAAGGAGTAAATTGAGGCCAAAGATGATGATTTCAGGGCATTTAGAAAGCATTCCCCAGTTAAGTGTTGCTGAGGAAGTAGGATTGCAGGATTCCTTAGTATGGTGCTCCTATGCATTGTTGTGTTGTGTATGAAGGAATTTCCAAACGTTCCTGGAAAGATTCCATTATCTTTCAATTCCATTTCTCTTTGAACTTTTTGAAACCTCATATACCTGCTTGGTGATTCACAGGCGCCGTGGTAGCATGTTAAAGGCCATGATAAGAGCTACAACAACATTAAACATCTCTCCGCCCAATCATTTCCACTCTGAACACTGAACTTTAGTGTCAGTGGAGAACCACTGTTGTGAGAATTTTGAGAATCGCTGAGAAGGGCTGATTAGGGTGGTAGCTCAACCTGCAGTGCTGAAGATGGAGGTGTTGTGGAAAGGAGAATTACTCAGCTTTGTGAACCTAGAGCAGAAGGACTGACAGGAAAAATGCTGGAACACAGTCCTGGGCTCTGCAGAGGCTGTCTGCATACATTTGTAAGGGTAAAGGATGCAAGATGAGGACCCCCCTGGGGGATGAGAAAATCTTTGCTTTCACTATGGCGTATGGCCTTCCAGAGCATCCAGAGCATCGGGCTGACTTGGCTACAGTGTATGCCTTCATTTTCATTTCCTGCTGAAGTGTCTGGGGTACCGGTCTGAGCAGCACTGACTTTAGTTCATTGTAGAGAGACAAGATGTATACAGGATCCATGCCATCAAACCGCCGAGTAGATGGCAGCGGTGGGGAACTTTCCCTTAATCATAGAATTCCATAGATGCCCAGTGATGCCTGCCATCTGTCATGAACCTCACCTACTTCAGCTGTTAACAAAGGCAAGCATTAAGGGCCATGTCATTTTAGAGGAGCGGTGAATGAACAGACTGGTTTGAACAGGGCCCGGGTGTTAGGATTGGCTTTAATTGGTATATGATTTTTGCCCTATCGGTGAGCAGTGTTTGTGTTTTCTTTGTCCAGGCTGCGAGAAGACATTTATCACAGTGAGTGCCCTCTTTTCCCATAACCGCGCCCATTTCCGGGAACAAGAACTCTTCTCTTGCTCCTTTCCGGGATGCAGCAAACAATATGACAAAGCCTGTCGGCTGAAAATTCACCTGCGAAGTCACACAGGTAAATAAACTGGAGAATGCAGTGGCACTTGAACACAAGATTTGTTTTTGTAGAAGCTGTTACATTTATCATGATACTGTGCCATTTTGTCTTCTATAAGGTGAAAGACCTTTCATTTGTGACTCTGATAGTTGTGGTTGGACCTTCACCAGCATGTCTAAGCTTCTAAGACACAAAAGGTAACGTACTAGCAGTTTTGAAAATGAATCATTTCCAAACCTATGGGTCTATAGTGTTTTCTTTTTGAAAAATTAATGTGCTTAAGGTGAGAATTTGCCCAGCCAAATGATGTTCTGATTTAACAATTTTTGCACATATTTTTCAGTTATATTGGTTATACTTTTTACAATGTGTCATTATTCTCATTTAATCCGTTCTGGTTGAACTTCCATTTCTAGTGCTCTAGTTCTCTTGCTGCTGTCATAAGTCTTCCCTGGCCAGTTTGGAAATAAGTCGATCATGCAGTCCTTCTTCCTAGTCTGTGTTAGTGTGGAAGCTCCACCGAAATCTCTCCACCAAGGGTGGCCCTGCTGGTACTTGAAATAGCATTGGGAAAGTTTCCAGCATCGCAGCTCCATACCAGTCACCACCGTATGACAGACTGACAGACGAGCTGTGGTGAGAAGCACAGATGGGGAGACTGCCTCTCACATGCTTTGTACATGTTTCTCAGAAGGGCCCATCATGCTTGGAGGAGAGTGAGAAGGGGAAGACCCTCAACAAGATGAATAGACAGAACAGCTGGAAGTTGAAGTGGGTTCAGCCGTAGCAACACCTTCCATCTTAAAGCGCCCCCTTGATGCCCTGCAGATTTGTCTGTTCTGTGATGCATGTTTGTTTTTCATAGCGGGGTTTATGATTTCTTTCGTTTTGTTTTAGGATGTTTTGAATACTTGTTCTTTATGTGTGTAGTACTCTATTGTGTGTATGTGCCACATTTTGTTTGTTCATGTATCAGTTGGTGGGCACTTAAGTTGTGTAGAAGTGACCTCTAACTTCACCAGGGCGTTGTGTAGAAGTGACCTCTAACTTCACCAGGGCGTTGAAGATCAAGATCAGTAGCCCGAGACTGCTGCATATTGGCACAAGTCTGACATTTCCCTCGCCCTCCGGACTTTTTCAGCCTGTCCTAATACCAGCTGTCCCTGAAGCACTCCACTGTGGGTTCTATAATTTATTGCAGTGACAGAGGCTCTTATCCAAAGTGCTGACCGCTTCAGCTGGCAGCTAACTGTTCACCTGCTGTGCCACCTGGACTCCTCAAGTGCCATTAAAACTCAGAATTCAGTGCCATCAAGTTGATTCCAACTCACAGTGACCATCTAGTTAGAGTGACCCTCTAGGACAGAGTAGAACTGCCCCTCTGGGTTTCTGAGATTGTGAATCTCTATGGGAATAGAAAGCTTGATCTCCCGAGCAGCAGCTGGTGGTGTTGAAAGCTGGTTTTGGAGTTAACACCCAAGCCCTAACCCACTATGGTCCGAGGGCTCCCCAAGGGTCATTAGAGAGATGCCGATCACATTTATGGGTTATCTTCTGACCTCTGCAAAAAAAAGGCACTGATTTGAAAAGAGGTGGGGACTGGAAAAGTTGTAGGGCGAGTAGAACTCCATCATTGCTGGTGGGTTGTAAAAGGGCACAAATGAGGTATGGCACTTGCTCAAAAAGTCAGAAACCACCAATGATTCAGATCCAGCACTGCACTTCTGGGTATATGCCCTCGAGATCAAATTGCATTAACACAAATAGGCATGGACGTCTATATTGAGTGCAGCACTGTTCAGCAAAAAGATGGCAACAACTGCAAGTGCAGTGAATCATTTGATATGACTCTTCTAGTCAGTCTAGAAAACTCTTGTCGTGCAGTGAGTGAGTTACTTGTTGAGAACGATAGACTGCCTGCTTTCTTAAAGATTTAAAGTCTCAGAAACCCAAAGGGGCACTTCTGCTCTGTCCTGGAGAGTAACTATTTTTAATTGTGGTCTTTGTTAACTTCCACTAAATAACTGGGTGAGGTTATGCAAATGAGGTGCTTGTGGTCCATGAAGCGATTAGAGAGCTTATCAATAATGTATGTAGATTATGTGCTTGTCACCATCCTGGGATTGGAACCATGCAAGTAAGATTTATGAAACCCAAAGAGGGGATTGTTCAATTTCATCATTCTGCTTAGCTTAATGAGCCATCCCAGAGGGTAGGACGGGATTTCACTGCCATCAAAAAAGTGTGTCTTTGGACCCAGGATTCCTGCACTGGGAGCATCCTCAACGTACGAGAAAGAACTAACACCAGATACAGGAAGAAGCAACAGCAGAGGAGCAGTAGCAGTAGAACCAGAGACAGCAGGACACAGCCTAGTGGGCTTCCAGACTCACCCAGAGTGAGACAGCTGAACACCAGGCATGAGGTTTGCTGGCTAAGTGGGGTGCTTTCAGCCATTTGGTAGAGCTAGGTTTGCCCACCGATGGAACAAGTGTTGAGCACCATCGGCACAGGCAGAACTAAAAGCTTGGTAACATTTGCCAAACAGGGCAGAGGCCGTTGGGGCCTCAGAATCCATAAAGAGACAGAGAAAGGCATGCTTATGAACACTGCTAAAAGGCTGACCCGATGGAAGAATGGATGTTTTGCATCGTTTGTGGTCCTGAACTGTAATGTGTTACTTTCTTGGTTGACTATAGACGGTCTTTTAAGATTTGTTGTCCACTGTGTAGATTTGTCATTGAACTTGGTTTTTTTTGGAGAATGTGTTTACCTTCGGGATTTTTAAGCAGTAGAAATGGATGTTGCAGGTTGTAGCAGCTCTAATTATTCAGTGTTGGGGCCAGCTAAATCAGTAAAGTAGAATTTCTAATTGTGGAGGAGTTAAACTGCAAACCTGCCGGTGCAAGTTAGAAATGGAGTTAAGATTTTTGAAATGTGCTGATGGTTTTTAAATATATAGTGCTTGTAGTTTGGTATATTTTGTAAAAATTTGTTTAAAATAATCACAACCCACATTGTAACGTAAGGTTTATTCTGAGCTGTTATTCTATATACATAAAAGGAGACCATTACTTTTCTTTTTTTAAACAAATTGTGGCGCAAAGTAAGCTGGTTACAATGGGGTTTATAAAGGGTTGGACTCTGACCCTGCACCCACCTGGCAGGATTTGGTCAGGAATTTTTTTGGACTTTTAAAGAAAAACCTTAAAATCGAAGTGAGATGTCAGTTAATTTTCTGCTTCAATAGTTGAGTTGTTAGTAATCAGTGCTCTTTTTTCCTGGGTGGCAGGAAACACGATGATGACCGGAGGTTCATCTGTCCTGTGGAAGGCTGTGGGAAATCATTCACAAGAGCAGAGCATTTGAAAGGCCACAGCATAACCCACCTAGGCACAAAGCCATTCGAATGTCCTGTAGAAGGTAGGTTTTTAAAATGCTTGCTGTATGTTGTAAGTAGGCATGCATGCTGAAAGTTTTAAGTTACTTAAAGTTAAGTTTTAGTTGCTTGTAGACAAGATACTGTATATACTCAAGTATAAGCTGACCGGAGTATCAGTGGAGGCAGCTAATGTTACCACAAAAACTGCATTAAAAATGTGCTGGATAGGCCGACTCCTGGTGGCACTGTGGGTTAAGTAGCAGGCAGCGAACCCCAAAATTGTGCTGGAACAACACAAGAACACTTGGTTCTAACAATTCTGCAGTCTGAGATGCTCACCTGCCTGGCACGATCGCTGAAGACAATGGGTGCACAAGAAAATGTGGTGAAGAAAGCGGATAGTGCTTGGCTACCGAAAGATATAACACCTGAAGTTGCTGAAGACAATGGGTGCACAAGCAAATGTGAAGAAAGCTGATTGTGCCCAGCCACCAAAAGATATAGCACCTGAAGCCTTAAAGACCTGAAG